GAGGAGGTGAAAGGAGTCCAGTTGTCTTCTGAACACTTCACCTACAGTATGCTGGACCTGATATTGTTTTCCACTCCAGCCTCAATGGAAAAGTGAAAAAAATTCTGTATTACAGTATCTTAGAGTGACACACTTAAACTTAAAAAAAGATGTTTCGAAGAGCAAGATGAAGACTGCTCTAACTGTATGAACCTGTCCAACAGATTGCATCTCTGTGAGGCCTCCAGACAAAAAACCAAAAGTAATAGACTATTTTTCATTAAATCAGGTTTAGTTAAGCTCTTTTTTGTTTTCCTCACATGTGGACGACTGTAACGTTGGACATGTCCACTGCTCGGTCAGCTGTTACAGTCCTGACTGGGACAGATTCTCTTTCCTCAGCTGTCACACGATCCGTACTGGACTGCAGGCACGCAGGAGTGAAGCTAAGGGGAATGGTAGTACGTGATAAGTTGACTTCACTCAATGAGCGTCATATCTGAGCTCTAAGCCGGCTGTAATTGTGTTTGGCTGTGAAGGAAATGAAATTACCTCATATTTATTTATGAGTCTTTGTGTGTAAATCCCTCTCCTCCTCCAATGCATTTAATTAATATGCTATATGATATCTGAGCTCTTTTGCTTACCCATGAGGGTTATCTTTAAGGTCATAAATACTCACTAGATATATATATATACTTATATACTCCTAGAAATGATACTGTCTGCAGGTGTTTCGAGGTTTACTGGGGCACTGTGTGAGAGCAGAGGAAGGCCAAACTTGGTGGGATTTTATTTACAGCAGTTCCATTCTTGTGTGTTGCATTTGCACGAACAGCTTACTCAAAACACTCAAAACATTTCTGTCTTTGAAGGGTTGGATGCCCCGTTCCTGCCGCTCAAACAGTCAGACATGTGTCTGGTTTGCATTGCGTTTGCCTCGTGGGTGCTGAAGACTGCAAATCCACAAGTCGGAGATGCTTGGAAGGCTGGTACGTGTGCAGCATCAGGGTGTTTAATACCACAGAAAATTTCCTTTTTAAAGACTGAAATTACAAAATGGTTCTTATTAAGTGACTGCGCTTCAAGTCCTGACACACTGAAACTTGGATTTTAGCAACAGGATTACTCACTTTTTCACTTGCATTTTCCACACAGTTCTGCTGGCCAATGTAAGTGCCCTGTCAGCCATTCGATACCTGCGTAAGTACGTCAAAGCGGAGGCGGCCGGCTGTGAAACGAAACTGCACCGCAGGGCGCTGCCTGCTCCTTCACCTCTCGGCCTCTAAATATGTCGAGGCTGAAGTGATCCATCTTTTCCAGAAAGTCTGCGGCGGATTGTTGAAACACGTTTGCACTGTGATTACTGATCTTACGTCTCACTGAGCTTTCCAGAGAAAGTGTTTATTTTAAGAGCAGTTATTTAACTTGAGTGAAACTTTAACATCCGAAAGTGTTCAGAAAAAAAAATGAAACGACCAAAGGCAAGATGAGGCAAGCTCATCTGACTGAAAGAAGGCTTTAGAAAAATCAGATGCATAAGTATGTGTGAAACAAGCTTGGAGGTGATGAGTGATAAGTGGATTAGTGTGAGAGACTGTAGAGATTCAGGAGAAATTTACACAAACCTGTTTCCATTACATGACTTTTGGTGGCAGATGCTTCTATTTAAATCAACCAAACTTTTAAAATATTCTTACTCACAGTTATTGTATTTTACAGATTTGCCACTGTAACCGCTCCCATTCAGAAGCATAATTTATTTAAGGGGGACAGCATTCTGTGCCAGTATCAGTTATATGTATATTATATATTATGTGAATGGTATTTTATGTTAATTACAGAGATCTGTATACTGTTGTCATATGTTGCACTGAGCTGTGGATGTTGATGATAATGGCAGTGATGCCTTTCAGTTGAACTAAAGTAAACAGTGTAGGTTGTGTGCTGTGTGTGTTATTGAAAAAGCAGACGTGCACGCAAACCTTTCTAAACACTAGATGGCGACATAAACTCATGTAACTGGACGCAGCTGTGTGATTTATGTCTTTCTTCCCTAGAATAAACAAAATACTGCCGATAAATCAGTACAGAAATATAAGACTAAGCTTATATCACAATATATTTTAATATACTGTTTAAATTTAAAGAGTTTAAAAGTTTGTTCAGTGTTGTTGGTATTCAAAGAGCACTCTGTCAAGACGTTGTGTCCAGCAGGGGGCAACACTGGACCATAAACTCCAAGTGTTTCAAAGTTCTCTTGATTTTTCAAAGGAATCTTTTTGTTGTTGTTGTTTGTTGAGCCAGTTAACACTGACTTATGAATCATTTGAGCATGAAAAAGCTGCCTAATAGTGATGAATCACTGTTGTGTCTGCGCGTGACAGACAACTTAGCAAATAGCTTTAAATTGTATCTTCAGGCACTTTGTTACTAGCAGAAATCTAGTTTCTCATAGCTTACAATCATTTTATTAATTGAATCCAGGAAAAATACTAAAGAAAAGACAGATATAAAATAGTATTTTTGCACCAATTAAGGTGGATTTTCATACAAAATGCTGACTTTTAAAACTGGTTATAATTGTACAACTCTAACCCTGAAACTCTTGTTTTTAAATCATTTACTGTATTTCCATGTATGCCTGCATGTTTCAGTCAATTGCACCACATTTTGCTACAAGATGTAAAGAAATTAGAGAGGTCACATGATTTTTCCAAAGCACTGTACAATCTATTAATCACAGGTAAACTGTTGTTTATTATTTGCCTACATGGAAACTAAATGGTGTCTTACTAGACTTTGAAAGAGGCACCTGGTGAGCTAGTGTGTGCAGACTGCAGAAAACCTGTTTTACAACATAAGGTTTGCATAAAAAGACTTGTTTTATTCTTACATCATTGCTCTTATTTTTCTCACGTTCTAATATGAACCAATCTTTCACCACTCACTATTAATTTTATTTAAAGCCAAGACACTTTGACAAATTATTACCTTTAAAGTGTTCCTATGCAGAAGAGGACAAAACAGAGACAATATACTGAAACTTTTTACACTTTTATTTCCAAATATAAATAAGCACCTCAAACAAAAATGAAAAAAGCCACAGAGGTATCAGTACTGTGCACCTCTGATATTATTATTATTATTATTAAGTCAATATTAGTCAGTTACAGCCACATCTATTTGCCTTGACAGTATAGCACAATAAAATAAGAAGTGTACAAGATTTACAAAAATATACATATATTCTTTACTATAACAAGCCCTGATGGAATGCTTTAATAACATTACACATTACAGTATAATATGAAATGAACAGCCTGTTTGAAAAACCTATAAATATTTTAAAAAAGAAACTGGGTTTACTACAGATAAAACCAATGACAGTGCACTTACAGCATATAGCAGATTTAGAAAATATTATTCAAGCTACACAGTATATACAGCATCCTCTACTGTCTCCTTCCACAAATGCTACATATTAAACAGACAACTGAAGCCTTTGTTTGCCACCTCCATAACGTTTTGCTTCATCCCGTCATTCCTCTGCTCAACTGCCCGACGTCTAACAAAGCAGTTCCTGGGATTTGTTGGTTCCTACTGTACACAGTGGGACCAGCACGATGCTTGCTGTGCTTGCCGGCTTTTATTATCCCCCTGATAGAGATCTGTTGTTTGCACACGTCCAGACGAGCGCCGGGCCATCCTTTTTGTTTTATGACCATCTCTGTGGTGTTGCCATGGCACCAAGCCCTCTGGCCCCGAAGTCTAATCCTGTCCAGTCTGTTGAAATTCCAGCCGTTGGCTGGATCATTCCTGTATCACAGTCGAACTCCCAAATGTTGTCATAGTCTACTTCCTGGTCATCTGGTTCTGCGGGTTCGAGGTATGAATTGCGACCTATAAGAATTGAAGACGATTAACATACTTGTAGTTTCACACAGCAAAAAGCAAACCTCACCCTGTTTAAGTAAACTTGGAAACAGTCCCAAAGTAATTATGGTGTTATGTGCATTGTCCCAAAATATGGTCTTACTGTAAAAACCAGTAGAGCTGCATAATCCCTGCTGCACCACCTTCACTTGTTATTTATGGTCAATAGTAAAAAACGTGCAGCCCGTCAAATAAAATCACCTGGTAAAATCATGTTTACTAGTTTATCTGGATAATCAGATAATCTGGACTGACCAGAGAAATCCTAGTCTTGTTTCATCAACGATAGCAGAGCCTGTGTGAGCAGTTGTGTGCTGTCAGTCACAGTGGGGTTATAAATCCAATCTGTTGAGCAGTGTTCTCTTACACTGAGCTTCACCCTGTCGGGACAACTGCACCAGCATATTTAGAGCGACACTAAGCTCTAATTCACTGGCACATTTGCACATTTTCTACACCTTCAAATCTGCAGCCTTTAACCTTCCGTCTACCTGCTGACAGACCCGGGAGTTTAATCACACCAAAGTGCGCACAGTGTTGAATTTACAGTGTGGTTGGAGCGTTGCCAATGTTGTGTGTCCTTTTAGGCACACAGGCTCACAGTGCTGACTTTTATAGCTCAAACTTTGAGATTGGAGATTTCAAAGAGTCTCCATTGTTTCTCCACAAAGAAAAAAAGGGGCTCTGTATCTTTGTTCACAGGATGAAATGAAAACATTTCCTATCTGGGCTAGGAGCACAAAAATGACACGCAGGCGTTCTAAACATAAAAGGAATGTTTTATTTGGCTTTTGATTGCATGCCTTTAATTCTTACCTGGTGAGTAACCATAATGCATCTGAGCAGGCTTTCTGGCAGAGCTCGACGGGTGAAGTATCTGTCAGCAGATGTGAAAACAGAGACAGTTACTTCCTGTGATCAGTTACAACAAACATCCTCATGGTTGCTTAAAAATGTGTGTTTCTTCTGAACCTGTTTAAATATCACCTGCAGCACACTTGCTGTGCTACCATACAGTTTATCATTTCACTCTGCACTACTGCATTCCAGAAACCGGAGTGTCCTGGGAGATGAGTATCTCTGTGCCTCTCACCTGCTCTTGCATTTGACCTGGCACAGGCAGCAGCTTTAGCCTCGACACAGCCTCTGCTCTCTGCTGCGCTTGGTTCTCAGGTGTGTCCATCTCCAGGTCCAGAGCGTGGCCCTGGGAGTTGGTCAGGACCAGGCTTCTCCTGCCGCGTCCACCCATAGGAGGGTCGTGGAGCTGGAAGGAGGAGGGCAGCATCTGGGGTTCCTGGTGGTGGTACTGCTGTTGATTCAGCTGTTGCCAGAGCCGCGGCTAAGAAACAAAGAAATAAGATGTGCATTTTTAGCACAAAAGTTGCAACATTCCTCAGTTACAGTGGACAGTAAATGTATCCAATAAAATAAATGATGACTTCATAAAGAGGAATAGTGCAGTAAAACTGAATATTTTACTGCACTAGTAAATTAGGCCAAACTAAAATAATTAAATGACTGGTTGGCTAAATCACAATTTAAAACGTTTAAACTTCTATAGAAGATTTGACATGCTCTAAAAAAAGAGTTATCATATGACCGAATACTCATGTGTTTATGGGTGTTTGCACTGCTTGATATCAGACAGGCTGTGCAGGTGTAAATTGAACCTGTGGATCCAGTATCATTGGCCCACTTACCACTGGCCTGGCCTCTTCCAAGGAGTAGATTTCGGGGGTGCAGGGCTCATCGTAGAGAGGCGATAAGGGTTGTCGTGGGGCACACATATCCGAGTGGCGCTGGGAGATGTCAAGTGAGTACCTAAGGGATGTCTGAGGAGTGCTCCAGCTGTTAGACTGGAGAGGATTCAAACAGAGGCAGGAGTTAGCTTTACATTAAGGAGAAATTTCCTTGCATTTGTAAGAATAGACACAGGAAGTAGAAAAATCAACTAATCCACAATTAGTTGTAAGTGTTACAGTGTGGTTGTGTCTTTGTGACTTATTCCAGATCTGCACCAGTGGAGCAGTAGAGTGCACCAGACTGGCTTAAGCTCTGTTTATAAACTCTAAGAGAGATTTCATTCCTTGCATCTTTGATTAAATTGATCTTTCAACCAGCCTAAGTGGCAGTGTTACTCCATTTGTTAACACCATATGCATGCCTCAGTCTATTGCCTGGTGTCTATTTAGGTTACTGCACACATGACACGTAAAATACGTCAGCGGTCTCAAAGGGAATATTCGGTTATCGAGTTAGACGCCAGACTGAATTACCTTGACAAGTGGAGCTTTCTCCAACCGCTGCGGGCTGGCCCGGTGCTGGGCAGAGTAGGGTATGCTGTAGAGCTGAGACAGCTTGGAGCTCTCTGCAGGCTGGAGGTAGGAGCTGTGCTGAGGGGATGAGTAGCGCACCGACAAAGGTCGTAGGTCACGCTCGGGCCTCGTGTGGGAAGATATGCTATTGCTTCTGCTGCCTAGCTGGGCAGTCTCAGTCGAAGAAGGACGGCTGGAACTGTACTGTAAGGACAACACACCCAAAGGACAAAAGTCAGCCAAGAACTGGAGCTTTAGATCACATGTGCCAGCACAGACTGTCTCTTTAGCTTCTGTTTGCTCATGTTTTTAGCAAACAGTGTCATGTAAGTGTGAGAGAAAAATGTCTCTGTTTAATTTGTGCCTTAGATCTGAAGCTGAACACTAACATCTGGGCGTGCAGCACGCTCTACTTTAGCTAATTGGATAGGCAGGCAGCTTACAGGACCCGCCCCCCCTTTCCTGGAGGAGTTTGGTCAAATGTCCTGATAATGCAGAATGATTAGGAAACTGCTGAAGCAGAAGCTAAAGGTCTCTTATGACTCCAAATCTAGAGTTTTCGCAGATAGGCATCATTTGAGTGAAAATGACTTTGTTCTGTCTTTCCTTTTCTTTGCTGAAGGCCTGAGGATCAGCACCGGAGCCTTTGTAACAGGAGCACTTTGGTCTCTACACCTTGCTTAATAATTAACTT